TTTGAGCTTACGGTAGGGTCCGACGTTGTTCTTATCGATATTTGTGTAGTTTCCTTGATTTGCTTCCAGTGTACATTGAGTACTTCGGATGGTGGTTAAGCTGGTAGGCGGCTGGAGAGTGAAAAGGGAATTTCGGCTCCAAAAATCCCGTAACTTGTGATTGTTTGGCTTTTCTAGTATTACGCCGAATGATATTCGATGGGTGGCGTAAACAGGAGGCGTCTGGGGTTATTCGGGAATGAGGGGAAGAACTAGATGGATCGGATAGAGGTTTCTCTAAATGCGTACCTAAGGCTTTTGGGCAGGGCATACTTCGTGGTTGCCCACACCGACGAATGGGTTTTTCTTTGAGAATCCTAATCAGAGCTTTCGACTCAAAAGTCTGACCCACAAGGCAATGGGGCGTAAATCCAACGCGGGAGCGTGGACGAAGCTCCTGTGTGGGAGCTTCTAGAGACCTGTCACGCAAGGTTTAAGTTTGTTGTTCGCTGGTGCGTTGATTATTGGTCCGCTTTTCGGGATCGCCCCTTAGCCTCATGCACCCAACGAGGCAAACGGAACGTGGACGGGACAGCACCTTATTGGCTGGGGGCTGCCCAGCTTGGGCGGACGGTAGCTGTTCAATGAAGTGCGAAGACTTCTCCCACCGTCGAGAGGAAGCCCCAGGTACCCCGCTCCTACGTCCATCTAGCGGGTTTCTTTTTTGACCGGTAATCTGCCCCTCACCGTGTTTATTTGCCGGAGTAGCCTCTCCAGGGGGATGTGTGAAGAGAAGAAGGAAACCAGGAGGTACCCAAGCACCTGGCTTTGTGAGAGTGAGCTTCGTTTGGCCTCTACTGTTGACCTTTCAGGCATGATTGGATCTACGGCTGTGCAAAGCCATCCTGTGTAGCTCGCAGGGTCATGGAGGCACACACGCCATCATACTACGTCAAGGTGCAGTCTCGTGGTGATGGAATAGATTTCACGCACACTGTCTGTTGCACCGTGTGCGGTTACTACTTCGCAAAGTTCAGCGGATGTCGAAGTGATTGGACAAGAGAGCGTATATGACCTGTCTCTCGCTTTTCGAGGTTAGAAACCGATAGATAATTTAATCGAATGGCTGCAGTTAATAAAGAATGTGGCAGGAAACCGAACTCGGTAGTGTTTTTTAGTGTCATTTCTTAGCAGGTCAGAAAGTACCGTATTCATATCCGAAGGACGGCTTTCCGGAGATCGATTTCAAAAGAATAGTCCATATTGCAATACTGCACTATTTATGTCCAGGACAATTCCGCTGCACCTCAGCATGGTGCATACTGCAGAAAATACAATATTTATATAGGGATTTAGCATGGCAACAAGGAAAAGTAAAATACAATGAAACAGACAAACATAAAAGGGGATGGGTGAAAGGACTATTTCACCAGGGTAAGGATAAACTTACATAAAGTTCTTTTTGTTGACACAAGGAGTCGCTTCCATCGGCTAATAGCAATCCCTTCTGGAAAACTTAGCAATCCTGTCATTTGTGGTTCTAATGGCCAAGTGGTTAGGTCACCGACTTGTGACCTGGGAGTCCCGGGTTCGAACCGCTCTACCGCTGCCCGTCTTCCCTATTTCTGTTTTTTCTCAGACAGCCTTTTAATGGCCGCTGCCTCCTTCATAAAAGTTGACTGTACATTTGTATATGCAATAAATAAAAAAGAAGTAAAAAGACATTTACATTTTTTTATTTAATCCGAAACGCCGTGCTTCGATCGATCTGGTGTTGCGTCATCAGATGTCGAGCTGTGGCGGATGACGGAATCTTGTGGTTTTAACCATTGTTTCTATGCCGCGGACTTGACCCGGATTGCACCATTTATATCCAATGGGTACATATGGTAAGCGTGATGTTGGTCACCGAACTGCGCTTCGTTGTATGATGACGATGACGACGATTGCAATCTAGGTCAGACGCTGGTTTAGATGCCAAATGGTCATACGGATTTCAATTCCTGGAACATGTGCGGTTCACGAATCCGAGTAGACACTCGGTGCACTGGGTAGAGCAACAATTGAAGAAAGAATGAGGATTTGAAAATGAGGCTCGAAAACCTTCATCAGGGATCACTTAACCCGATAGAAAAAGTTTGACTATTCGCTTGAATTTGTTCATTTAGGGACGAGTGTCGTGTGTGACGACAACCACATTAATTCACTTCACCCATGGATAGTGAAGCAACATTATATGTAGAGCTTTCCTAGGCCTCAGGGCACACAGTTGTCTCCCCCGGAATGGCCCAATTCGACAGAACCATCAGATATAGAGCGATGATGGTTAAAGTCATCATCCTTTTTTGCTCGGAGGTTGTTTTTGAATCCCGTCACCGCCGCTTATCTTCTCCACTCTGGCAAATCATCAGGCGGCCTTAAAATTGTTTCGTAAGTTTTTTACACGAACATTTATTCGGTAATTACAAAAGGGAAGTAAAACGATTTTTCAACTGTTATTTATAGTCGAGTACAGCCAACCACCATTAAGTGTGTGGCTTCGCTCACTGTTTTTAGCAGGGGCACTTGTTCCGCATGCACGCAAATCAATTTCCCGCATATTCTTTGTTTCCTGACTCAGTTAGGAGTCGGATAAAATCCAAGCGTGTACGAAAACCTTGAGCACACAATTTTTGAGAAGTATGTTAGACTGCCAAGGCACAGTTCACAAAATTTGCTGTCTGTTCGGCAGGAAAGAATTCGTTCCGCCATGTACCCCGTTAATCTCACTTTTGTTGGAGGACAACAACTCAGAACACGGTATCTGGGTCTCAAAGTCATGACTATCTACGCAAAAAGTGAATGTCGCTTTTGAATTTTTTCTGGATCAGCTGGTGACTTGTCAATACTGCCGTGTCTACTCATGTGATCATAAGCACACCCAGATAGTTGTTTGTCTGTTCCGTTCTGCTGCATCACATGTGTGATTGTAACTGTCACTGGAAATCATACACCCACGAAAATGTCATACGAACTGTTCGAAGATTGTTTCGTCGTCATCCCTATTGTGTTCAATCAGCACACAAAGCATCGAGTGATTGGAATTTATCTGACTCTTTTGATTGTGCTATGTATTAAAGCCAGACATCTGTTTCTCTTGGACATGCTGTTGCGTAATTTTAATCTACATGACTGTAATAGCCTGAGGGGTGGGGGGGGGAATACTGAATGCATGACAAACAATCGAGTACAACAGTGTCTAATAATTGAGGACATACATCGAACCAAATCGTGCCATTGAACATCTAGGTGAACCGTGTTTGTTCTAACTTTTTCATGGTCTCAGCCTTTGATTGTTTCGATGAAACCCAGATGATGTATATACATCGCGAGGCTCATTCTAACACCCACTCCCGTTGTTCTGGCTAGGTTCACCTTCGGTGTAGACCTGATGGACATGTTGGATGAAGTGCTTGCATTCGAAGAAGTCATTCTGGACTCTTTTGCCGGTGTCTCTTTCGCTGCTTTCTCCCAGGTCGGCCAGTGCAGACTGGCCCCCGTCTTGCTATGCATTCAGGATGCAGCTGCACTGTATGACCTGGTCGTACATGTGTTGTTCAAGTTGCACGATGTTCTAGACAGTAGTATGTTGCTGGGGCATCGTCAACGGTTTTTCCTACTGCATCAGTCCCTCAGCAAATTCTTTGATTTGGTCTCCCGAATGCAACAGCTCAAATCGTTTGTCGATATTCCGACATTGTCTCAGGTAAGCGAATCGTATACGATAGTTATTTGCCGCGGTTATCTGGTCAGAACGATTAGTCCCGAAATGCAGGTACTGATGAGCTCACCAAACCCGAAGACATCCAACGCGATATTGAGCACTTTGAATTCCCCCCCTCCGCCCCCTCCCTCCCGCCATGTACGTGTGAATTGATGAACTGGACGCCAGCTCACTACCTTGTGAGTCAGGGGTTTCGGCTGACCGATGGCTCCGGTTGGTAATCCCCTGAGAATATTCACCTGCTTTAGCCTGAATAACATGCTAGCATTCAAACCAGAGGGAAATCAGGGACTGATTTCTTTGTAGTAACCCGTTTTGTAGTATGATTTGTGATTTGGCACACAGTTTTGAATCAGACGACCGGAATTTCAATAATAATAATGATCACAATAATAATAATGTTTAAATTGGATGATGGCAATCTATACATTAGGATTCATATTTAGTCCTATTCTACGATAAATAAGACTCAACTAGCTCGGTTACAGTGGAAAATAGGACTTTTCAAGTTCAAGTCAAGTCAGTAGTAGCTTTATGCACCCGGATGGGTGTATTTTCAGCAA